CACACACACACACACACACACACACACACACACACACACACACACACACCATGTAGCTGGGGTAGTCTGGATGAGAATAACCCTCATAGACTCAAATATTTGAATACTTGGTCCTCAGTTGGAGGAACTATTTGGGAAGGGTTAGGAGGTGCAGCCTTGTTGGGGGAGGTGTGGCACTGAGGGCAAGCTGTGAAATATCAAAAGATTAGAAGCATTTCCCTAGTCTCTCCCCTGCCTCGTGGTTATAGCTCACAATGTGAGCTCTCAGCTCCTGCTCCAGTACCATGTCTGCGTGCCAGTTACCTTGCTTCCTGCCATGACGGTCATGAACTCTAACCCTCTGAAACCACAAGCTCCCAAATAAATTCTGTATTTTTAAAAGTTGTGTCTAATCACAGCAATAGAAAAATACCTAAGTCAAGATCCCTCTATGCCACTCCTAGGCATATATCCAAAATATGCTCAAGTACACAACAAGGACATTTGCTCAACCATGTTTGTAGCAGCTTTATTTGTAATAGCCAGAAACTGGAAACAACCCAGATGGCCCTCAAATGGATAAAAAAAAATTGTGGTCCATTTATACAATGGAATACTACTCAGCAAATAAAAACAAGGAAATCATGAAATTTGCAGGTAAATGGTGGGATCTAGAAAAGATCATCCTGAGTGAGGTGTCCCAGAAACAGAAAGACACACATGGTATATACTCACTTATAAGTGGATATTAGACATATAATATAGGATAAACATACTAAAAACTGTACACCTAAGCAAGAAGGAGGACCCTGGGTAAATGCTCAATCCTCATTCAGAAAGGCAAATGGGATAGACCTTAGAAGACGGAGAAAACAGGGAACAGGACAGGAGCCTACCACAAAGGGACTCTGAATGACTCTACCCAGCAGGGTATCAAAGCAGATGCTGAGATTCATAGCCAAAATCTGGGCAGGGTGCAGAAGTCTTATGAAAGAAGAGGGAGATAGAAAGACCTGGAGGAGACAGGAGCTCCACAAGGAGAGCAATAGAACCAAAAAATCTGGGCCCAGGAGTCTTTTCTGAGACTGATACTCCAACCAAAAACCATGCATGGAGATAACCTAGAATCCTTGCACAGATGTAGCCCATGGCAGCTCAGTGTCCAAGTGAGTTCCCTAGAAAGGGGAATAGGGAATGTCTCTGACATGAACTCAGTGGCTGGCTCCTTGATCACCTCCCCATGAGGGGGGAGCAGTCTTACCAGGCCACAGAAGGAAACAATGTAGCCAGTCCTGATGAGACCTGATAGCCTAGGGTCAGATGGAAGGGGAGGAGGACCTCCCTTGTCAGTGGACTGGGATAACAGTATGGGAGAGGATGAGGGAGGCGACTACAGCTAGGATACAAAGTGAATAAATTGTAATTAATTAAAAAAATAATAAAAAATTTTAAAAATACCTAAGACACTAGCTGGGGCTCACCTTGAACTCATGGCAATCCTCTAGCCTCTGCTCTTAAATGCTAAGACTACAGGTGTACACCACTGAGCCTAGCTTCATATCTGGCTTTAACCCATGTGTTCAGTACTCTTCAACAGGTTGCTTGACTTTTGAATGCCTTGATTCCTCATTTGTAAAAAGTAGTAGCTCACATGTGAGTTATGAAGTTTGATGGAATTTAAGTGCTTAGTAAAGTATAAAGTTCTATGCAATCAATGGTAATTAAGATCATTAGTATTGATATCATTGTATTAATAAAAAAAAAAACCACATTTCATGTGGGCAGCTAAATCTAAACTGAACCTGAAGCTTGGTCCCTCCACTACTAACTTTACCTTGAGAAAAGTTCTGCCTTTATAAACTTACTTGCAGAATGGGAACACATGTATCTAAATTACAAAACCACTATGAACATGTAAACATTTCTGTGATGACTCCATAATATGATCAGATCTTATCCAGAGTAAATACCCTTGGGATGGGTGTTCACAAACGGGATATGCCTAGGAGTAAAGGAAGAACGAGGACTCTGTGACTCTGTGAAGAGTAGAAACAAACGAAAATGTTTTTCACAGAGGAAGAGAAAGCTGGAGGAGAAATGTGTTACCATACTTTAGACACTTACAAAGACTAGCCAGACACGAGCAGTGTATTTACAACAGCAGTTTTTACAGAGTACAAACCAGCTGCTTATAAGCAAGCAGTCTAATGTAGAATGAGATTTCCTAGGAAATGCTTGCTGTTTTACTATACGCTTTAGATGTAGTGTTTGAGCAGTGGCAAGGCCACAAATTATCCTTACTTAATCATTCTCTATGGTCAATCAAAATAAAGTACACTACATTTTGAACTTTAAACTAATCATTCTGTTTGCTTATTTGTTTCTTGGCTTTTTGAGAGAGGACCTCACTGTGTCTAACTCGTTTTGTAAACCTGGCTGGCTTTGAACTCACATAGAAACTCCCTGTCTGAATGCTGGGATTAAAGGCGTACACTATCTTGACTGACAATTTTGATATTCTTTACAATTAAAATCAAGCATACTATATTGTTGCAGGATATTTGATCCCATTGTGAACCCCAAAATTGTGAACCGTAAAACCCTGTTTCTTGTTTGGTGTGGTTGTGCTCTATTACACACCTTTAATCCAAGAACTTTTTTTTGTTTACTGTAAACAGGTGATGATGGTGTGGTTCAGCCAGCCCTAGCACACACCTTTAATCTTTCTGTAAAAGAATTTAAGAAAGTTTCACCCTAGGTCAACAGGCAGAGCAAGAAACTAGTGTTAAAGAGTAGACTTTGATAGAGGGGTATTTAAGACAATGTTGAGAAAGGGCGTTCTGAGCTTTCGCTCTTCAGGGCTTTATTTCTCTAGCTCTCTGGCTTTTTGAGCTAGCAAGCCTTTGGCCTTGGGTTTTTTGGCCTTTTCCTCCTGGGCTGTCAGTTAAGCTAGTGAGCCTTTTGGGTTTTTTCCATCTGGACTTGAGCTAAGGAAGGTCAGCTGGGTACTTTCTCTGCCTCTCTGAGCTAGCAAGTTTTCACCCCAGCATCTGGCTCCTAAGTCTTTACTGGTAAAACAGAACGGCTGGAATTTTCATTTTTTAAGATATTTTTAAAGATTATTTATTTATTATATATACAGTAGTCTACCTATATGAACATGTTCCAGAAGAGGGTACCAGATCTCATTATAGATGGTTGTGAGCAACCATGTGGTTGCTGGGAATTGAACTCAGGACTTTTGGAAGCACAGCCAGTGCTCTTAACCTCTAAACAATACTATGTATTAAGATTTTCTTACTAATGGTCAAACTAGAATTTCCTATAGCAAATAATAAACCTCAATAACAGTGTTTCTCCAATGAATTGTCTCAAATTCTGCACAGCTGCATAATAAAATGTCAAAACGAGTATTTCTATAAAAGAATATGTTGGTACAGTGAAATACTTAAGTTACAGGATGATCATTAAATACCAGTAGACTTTAACATATTGATAATTATAGTTAACAATATTTTCAACATATAGTAATTTACAGACAGAAGGACTATAGATAGAAACTTATCTTTGGCTAGGGATCTAACTCGGTGGTAGAGTGTTTGCCTAAAAGAAAAAAAGTAGAGAGAGAGAGAAAGAAAGAAAGAAAGAGAAAAAGAAAAAGAAACAATCAACCTCTGCCCTCCTTCAAACAACTGAACCCTACCTCAACTTACAGTAGTAAGATACTAGTATGGTTCTAACTATTTTAAATGATTAAAAAGAAAGAAGAAAATAAAAAGGTTGTTAAGGAAAAAGAGAAATTAAAGCTTATACACTGCTCATGGGAATACAAAATGGTACAGATGCAGTAAGCAATTTAGTAGGTTCTCAAAATGTGAACAGATTTTTCATAAAATTCAGTAGCTTATTCCTAGGCACAGACACAAAGAACTGAAATAGGCATTTAGACAAAAACTTCCACAGCATCACTAGGTGCCGTAACTACACGCAGAAATGCAAAAGTTCATACACTTAGAAATCAAACAAAATGTGGGACACCTACAAAATGATCTACTAAAGGTCAGATATTTTATGATTTCACTCATAAGAAATATCCAGAACAGGCAAATCCATAGAGACAAAAAGCAGGTTAGAAGTTGCTAGGCATGGGAAAAGAGGAAAAGGGAGTTGCTTTTTACTAGACAGATCATTTCCCTTGTGAGGTGATGAAAATGTTTTGAAACTACATAGAAATAATGGTTGCACAATTTTGAAAGTACTGAACAGTACGTTTTAAATCTAGTTCAATATGTTACAAAATTGTATCTCAATAAAAAAAAAAACAACTCATTTAAGAATTTATTAAACTGAGGCAGGTATGAACCTGCGTGCCTATAATCCCAGCATTCAGGAAGGCAGAGGCAAGTGGATCTCGTGAGTTCAAGTCCAGCCTGGACTACAGAGCGAGTCCAGGACAGCCAAGGCTAGGTACACAGAGAACCCTGTCTCAAAAAAGAAAAAGAAAGAAGGAAAGAAAGGAAGAAAAAGAATTTGCTAAACCCAAAATGGACATTGTATTTCAGTATACACACA